AAATGCATCATAAACCTTCGAAAATGCACTATCTCAAAATCTGAGCGCAGGATGCAATCTGAGCCGCACGATGCATCAGATCCGACGGCTAGATTTTATTCTCATTTCCCTCCACAAGGTGCATTCTCACGGGAACCGGCCCCTATATATATATATATATATATATATATATATATATATATATATATATATATATATATATATATATATATATATATATATATATGTTTACATACATTTAAAAATTAAAAAAAATATGTTTACATACATACATGGGGCATCATAATATAAATGATAATTTGATTGGGCACCAAATTGTTAACCGTTAACGTGTTGATGAATTATTGTTCCAACATATTTCTCCTACACCAAAGACCAGCACACATGTGTTTGCATATAGCAGCTGTATCTCTTCTTGCCAGTACCTAAACATTTTATTTCGTATTAATTGTTAATTATTCTCCATGTAAAATAGAATTTACTCTTAACTTTAACAAGTTATAAGAAAAACGTTAAAAACTAAAATGCGTTTGACTAAGTATAAAAGGTGCTTTGTTGAAATCTATATAGAAGAAAAAAATAAGAGATATCTACACATTTTTTGAAAGAAAATTAAAGGAAAAAAAATACACTGTAAAATTTATTTTGGAACATTCAAAAGGGCAAATTATAGAATTTATTAATATATTTTTAGTTACCGTAAAATAGGTGATTTTTATTGTTGGCCCTTGTAATTTTTTTGTTTAATTCATTCTTACAAAACTTTTCATTTTGAAAATGATCTTTAAACATAATTAAGACTTTTAACTAGTTAAGATAACATACACTATAATTTTATGCCCAACATTCTAGTTTTAACATTTCTAATGACCACATACAGGATTCTCATTCACTAAATTAAATCATTATTCTTAGTACATAACCAATTTTCAAATTTCTTGTAAATATAATACAATAAAATTTGGAAATTAAGGATATAATTTGATGAAAGACACAATTCATGACATGAAAATTATGTATGTATGAGATAATTAGAAATGCAGAAATAAAATGTTGAGTACAACATAAATGTGTTTTTCTCAACTAATTAAAACTCTTAATTACGCTCAAGGACCATTTTTAAATTAAAAAAAATTTATAAACTAGGATGACTTAAACAAAAATAATTATAGATACCAAAAAAAATCGCCTACTCCCTCCGTTCTATAAAAGTGTTCCTGTTTTGACTTTGTGTAAAAATAAGGAAGTGTTAAATTAAAGTTGACTTCCAATTTTGTTTTTGATGTGATGGGTAAAAGTAAGATGTAATGGATTGAGTATAGGAGAAAAAGTATGATGTAATAAGTTGGGTATGAAAAAGTAAGGATAAAAGTAGTTTTTTAATAGAAAGTGAAAGTGTTTTGTTGAAAGTAAAAAAAAATGAAAGATTAAAAGTTTTTGAGAACGGAGGGAGTATTTCACAAGAATTTAAAACAACGATAAAGATTGAATAAATATGCAGACGTTGTATATGCAAGAGACGATCTAAACCGAAACACATGCCACGTTACGTTCTTTTTTATTTTGAGATCACACCACGTTACATATTTAAATGCAAGGTTACTAATTTAAATGCTAAGGGATCATCGCCCGATGCTACCCCACAAATTAAAAACCCTTATTTGCAAACCGCATGCATGTTTTATGTTTTCATATATCACACCTGAGCTGCAACCAAAAGATGGAGTTAATTACACACACAATGAAATAGGAGTGAGGCCAAAGCTACACTAGTTCACAATGAGCAATTAAGGATGTACACCGGTCCAAAACCAGACCGGAATGGATGGAACCGGTAAAAACAGCAAATAAACCAAAATCTGGGAAAGGAGAGGACGAGGAACCGTACATGATCAATTCCGGTTTCGACCCATTTGGACCGGTTTTTCCGATTCAATACGGGTGTAAACTAATTATACTTCATGTTGTATATTAATGCTTTTGATTTCAGTATCATGGTTAAATCACACCAAGTAAGGGCAAATATCTAGTTCTAAAATTTGCCTAGGGATCCTGCTTGCGCACATGTAACAAGAGTTACAACAGCAATCCCGTTAAATCCTACAAAAGTAGGGTCTAAGGAGGGTGTGTGTACGCAGAACTTACCCTTACTCAAAAGTAGAGAGGTTTTTTCAAAGAGACCTCCCGCTCAAGCACCGCATGTAACCACGTACGCAACTGATGACCCCTATATATGTTTATAACATAGTGAGACTGTTTTTGGATGACTCGCGATGAGCATTGAAAGTTACATTGACTAACTGCTACTTCACTATTAAAAGAACGTAGACACTTAAAGACTCATTTTTCTTTATTTCATCAAAAGTTGCATATAACAAGAGCTCCTAATGAAAAAAATAGTTATGTGTATATCAAATATCATCATTGCAACAAAGTTATCACTGGCAATATAAGTGGGTTAAATTAAAGCCGGAACTCGTAAAAATTATGTGTCATACCTGAAAGTTTCTGATGCAGTGAAAAATAAAGATGTTAGCGCTCCTGAAAAGTTATGCAAAACAAAACACATTAAGCACGAGTATTTTTATGAGACGGTTGATTCAGGAGTGTATTTGGCACTCCAAATGATGTTGTTTTGGGCACTGGACCGAGCGCTTGTATATGAAGATCGTTCAAACAAAGAAGATGATGTCTAGCCTTAAAAAATGATCAAGGCTTCTGTGCAAGAACAAAGCAATGTAATATGTCGTGATGTGGGAAGATTTATCTTTGAGAATGCCATATCTTTTAATGTTGCAAATAGTCCATATTACTATAGCATAATGTGTTCCAATAGCAATTACGGAGCTAGTTTTAAGCCACCATCTATGCATGGACTTCGTACATGGATATTGAAAACAGAGTATGATCGTTGGAGTGCCATAAAAAATAGAAACCTTTTAAATACTCCGTATCTTTGTCTATAATCAATTTGGGACAGTATTTAAGATTTGTTGATGCACTGGAACGAGTTAAAAATGCAAACTATTTGTTCTACTTCTACCTTCTAGATAGTATTGTTGAAGAAAATGGGTCAGAAATAGTTATCTAAGTTGTAACAGATAATCAAGTGCGTACATGGCCGATGGGAAATTGCTAATGGAGAAAAGAAAACACTTGTTTTGGACTCCATGCGCTGCACACTGTATTGATCTCATGTTGAAGCACATAGGAGAACTACCACAACACAAACAGGCTTTTTCCAAAGCAAAGAAAGTGTGCACTTGTATTTACAACAGAGGATGGGTATTGCAACTCTTAGTTATGACTTCACAATATTACATATTGTGTTTTAGCATGGTTAAATAAATTTTTTTTCTAATTTTGTGTTTGCACATATGTCACAAGATTTGTAACCGCATATTTGGCCTTAGAGTGCATTGGTAGCGCAAGAGAAGCCCTACAAAGAATGTTTGTTTCGAAAGAGTGGACATAGAGAAGGTTTGCAAAGTTGGATGAAGGCAAAGAGGTGAAGAAAATTGTGATAAATGATAAAAAAATTTGGCTAAGTGTTTTGTATGCGATCAAAAGTATGAAACCTTTACACTATGTTTGGTTCAAGGAATTTGGTAGGAAAAAAAAGGTTTTCCCTCATTTAGTCATTTTCCTCACCAAAATGGGAGAAATTTGGTATTCCTTCCTCTTAGTACATTTTGCCTTCTCTTTTTCTTTTTCTTCCACTTTTCTATTCTTTTCCTCTCTAACCAAACAAGATAAGTATTTTCATTCTCATTTTCTTTTCTTTTCTCTCTTAAATTACTTGAACCAAACATAGTGTTAGTGGAGGTGTTGAGATTGGTTGATGGGGATGAACCTGCGATGGGGTTCATTTATGGGGCTATGGATTCGCAAACTAGAGAAATGCCGATAACCTAGGCAATCAATTAGAGAAGTCATACAAAGAATGTTTGTTTCGAAAGAGTGGACATAGAGCAAATTTGCGAAGTTGGATGAATTCAAAGAGGGGGTACCGCTTATCAACGGTAAAGTTGAACATTTTAATTTTCATAATGTTCAACAAAAGAACAAAGGTTCGAAGAAGTCGATTGCAAAAGAAAGATGATACTTTGGTTTGTGAAGCTTTGTCTTCTAACGATGAGTGGATTATTGACAACACCGTAGGAGATGATGAACTTGCACTAGATGTTGTTAAAATGAATAATGAATACAAAGGTCATTTAATAATTTTTTTAAGAATGAACTTGCAATAACATAAATTATTTAATTTATAATTTAAGTTGTGTTCGCAGTTGGTGACGATCCACTAATCAAAGAGGGGATTTTAAATCGTGACATCACCTTCGCCTACATCTTGACCTAGACATATTTGTCTTGTGGTCCTAACTGAACCGCCAACTTACCTTCCGTTTTGTCTTTGGGTTTGGGTGAAAACCGAACCGCCAAAACCAAACTCACCCCTAGTGTTTGGATGTTCTAAGCCACAATTAGTAGCCTATTATGAATACCAATTCAGCATATCATCCTTTAAAATCAGCATTACTAATAGCAAGCCTGAACCAAACAGTTGTTTAGTGCATACTCTTGTCACTTCAATGAGTTGCCAATTTGCTTGAACATCAGACCTATAACAAGAGATAGTTTGAACCAAACATGTTAAAGTGCAGACTCAAGCTTGACTGACTCCTAACAGCTGCCAATTAACAGTCCCATTGAAAAATCCATTCCCACAAATTGAAGCTTAGCAATTAATTATGGTATATACTCTATAGACAATACTTTATCAAAAAAATAAGATATAGCTTACATAGGAAAAATCAATTCCTCACAAATGAAGATAAAGTATACAATGCAAAAAATTGAAATACTTTATAAACAATACTCCACAAATGATAAAGTTAAGCAATCAAAGGGGGTTGAAGAAGACATAATCCCAAACCTGTTTTGCTTGAAGAAGACATAACCCCAAATCTGTTTTGCTTGAAGAAGACATAACCCCAAATCTGTTTTGCTTGAAGAAGGATTCAAGCAAAAATCAAGCAATAATGGACAAAATCAAGCAGGAACCTGGAGGGCTAGGGGAGAACGATGTAGAAGAAGATGTAAGGAAGAAAGATGGAGAAGAATAGATGAGGAAGAGAGGATGAGAAGAAGAGGCGTGGAAGACAGAGAGAAGAAAAACAGCGGAGGAAAATGATATGGGCGGCGGTTGCAATGGAGAAGAAGGGGGGATGGGGGTGGCAAAGATGAAGATGAAGGAGGACAAGCAGCAAGGAGGGGAGAGGATGGCGTAGAAAGAAGACGAGCAACCAAGCGAGAATGAGATGGAAAATGACTTCCGGAGAAAATTCCAGAAGACAAAATCAGGATTTTAGACTTCATTTTCCATTTGACTTGGATTTAATTTTCCTTTGACTTCATTTTCCGGGGCCAAACACCGAAAAATGAGGAAAATGAATTCCAGAAGTCATTTTCCTCCTTTCCAAACGGACCCTTAAAAGAATTCAATGTACATTTTAGTACTCCGTCCATCCCAAAATACAAATAACACTTTCACTTCATAGAGTTCAATAACTGTTGAAAATTAGCCAATTTATGGTTAAAATTTGTTTATAAGAAATAGAGATGCTGTGAGCCACATATTCACTATGATGAGAATTGAGAAGTCATAATATTTCAATCAAGTTAGCCAAAATACTCCATATGGAAGAGGGCAACACTGCACCAGCAATATAGTTCTATAAACACCCATGGATGTGTAAAAGAACAAAACCCAACAAAAACAGAAGAAGAAGAAAAAAAAACCAACCTTGAATAGTCATAAGAGATGATCACTCTGGAACGGTGCGCGATCTGATGTGTTTGTATTTTTGCTGGCTGTTAAACCACCTTGCTGTTTCCATTAAGCCTTCAGACACAAGTTGTTTCAAAGCATCAACCCCTTCATTTAATGCAACGTCGATCTGTCAAAGAGTAGATAAATAAATACTCCAATGGATATGAAACAAAATCCTCTCCCCTTTGATCTGCATTTTGTGCTCTATACATTTTGCTCTCCCTCACCCACTCGCTCGCCCCCCTTTCCCTTTTCCTCTCCATGAGAGAGAGAGAGATTGTTGTTTCCTTTTATCTGTACTTTAGTGCTTAAGTCGGGCAACTCTTGGAAATAACCTCATTATTGCCAAATAAGGGTAAGGTCTACGTATACACACCCTCTCCCGACCCTGCTTTTGTGGGATTTTACTGGGTTGGTTGTGGTTGTTATTGTTGTACTGTTTTATAAGCAAATGTGAGGGTTTTCTTAAAACAATTTGTCTGCAACAATTGGCAACTCACTTAGTCCTGTATTTAATAACTAAGCTTGACTTATTGGAACCCTCAAAGATATGCTTAACTTAAACCATACCTTTAAATGTATAAGCAGCCAGGGGCAGAGGAGGGGGGGGGGGAGGGGGGGGGCTGCCTGGGCACGTTCCCTCCCAGCGAGATTCTGGTGATTACCCCATGGAACGGCAAAGTTGTTTATGACCAGCGAAGTGCCCCTCCAGCGACAGTGGCTTCACCTGCGTAGGGACTAGACATCTACAGACTGAATCTTTTTTTCATTTAGATCTGTTTCTTTTTCTTTAATAAAATGAAATTTGTCTAAATTAATATTTTTAAATAAGGATAACTCAAACGTCGCTTTGCCTGGAGGTTTTAAAAAACTCTCACTTTAAAAGCCGGCTTTACTTATTAGTTATTCCCAATAAATAATTATCATCTAGTTTTTTTTTGTTGAACTCATCATCTAAGTATTTTTGTTGTTTTAAAATGTTGAATTCATCTTCGGTTATTGGTGGTGAGTTCAATTTTAATGACTTTAATTCAAGAGTATATTTAGGCATTATGTGATATTTTTTAATACCAATTTCATTTTTTGTGTTAATTCAAATTAAGGTATTAGTTAAATAAAGAATTTTAGAAAATTTAAATTTGTACATATAATACTCACTCCTTCCCGTAAAAAAGTTTCACATATGAGATATGACATAGCATAGAAATTAAAAAAGAAAGTGAACTTAGATGGCTGAAATTGGTGCATGGAAGAGAGAAACTATATACACTACTATACAAAAAAAATCCAAAAAAAGTAATTGGAAAACGAACAAAAAAGAAAGTGTTGAACTTTTTTATGTGATGGGATAGTAGTATAGTTGAGATAAATTTACTTAGTATAATTTCTTTATATCATACTCCCTCCGTCCCAATTTAGATTACAATTTTATTTTCTCTCTCCTCTCGATAACTTTTGTTTATTTGTATGTTTTCATTGATTATTTGATAAAATAAAATACTCTTATCACCTCTTGTTTTGTAGAACTTTTGACGTAGTAATTTAATTTGTAATTTTTATATTGATGTTCCAATTTGTAAATAAAATGATGTCAAAAATCGTGGGATTTTACCTCGTAATTCACAATTTATAATCAAAATTGGGGCGGAGGGAGTATTATTTTTATTTTTGAAATTTTTTTTAAGTAAGCTTCCCCCAACTCTCATAGTTCACTATTGTGCCCTCCCAAAGCTAGCCTCTGGCTCCGCCACTGTAAGCAGCGGTACCTTGAAAAAAAGGCTCAAAAGCAAACATTTTATATTTCACTAATCACACATACCGAGCACAAATTGATGAATATTAGATAAATAATTAATTACAAAGCCAAACCTACAAAAAAAGTGAGTTTACCCGTTCCCTAGCAGTTGCATTGAACTTTTGAAGCAAGAATACCTTGGGGTCCATTTGACCAGCAGGTCTTCCAATGCCTAGGAAGAGAAATAAGAATCACTAGACACGCAGGAGAAAAACTATAAACAGACACAATTAACAAGGAGGCTCTGAATTTCCACCAACCTATTCTCAGTCGAGGGAACTCTCTGTTTCCACGAAAATGATAAATCACACTCTTTAGCCTAAAACATTTACAGAGCCGCCTTAAGAAAACGAATCACATCCATTAACCCATTGCTAATAATATAACGGTCAGCCTTTTTAAACAAAATATATAAAGATATGAGGGGGTTTTCAACTTCTGAAGACAAGTACACAGACACAAGCACTTTAAACAATGATTTACTTCCTAAAAATTCAAACAGTTGCCACAAATAAGGAGTTGACACTGCTCAAACTTGGCTGACAAAGCTTACCAAAAACAAACACCCAGTATGATTCATCAAATCACCTATATAGTGACTTGATACCACCTATTTGGGGTAATTTGAAACACGATAAAACTAAAGGGTGTTTCTTTTTCCTCCTTGTTTTGATAATTTTTATCCTTGACGCAACCACACTCACACTGGGTAAGGGACATGACACACCTCTACACATTAGGGTTAAAAGATGTTTCTCGAACAATAGATATACCATCTAAGCTTGTAGTTTTGCACATCTAAGTATATCTGGTGTTTAAGTTCTGAATTTCATAGGAGACTTTCAAGTAGCAGATTTTAGAGAGATAACCTAGCCCTGTTTAGCCTGACCCTGTTTAGCATTTCTCCAGTTGCGATTTGATTCTTAGTGACTCTCCAAACACCAGCTTGAAAAAGCGAAAATTTGATGTGCATTGCTTACCAAATAAGAAAAAGTGTATTGCTTACTAAATAAGCAATGTTAAAAGGCTCATAGGACACTCAGACTGTCTTCCAAGGATTGACATTAACTATACTGACCTGACTACCTAAGTATCACAGTTCTTAAAAGTAATAGGCAGCCTCTAGACAGCAGACTAGCACGTAGTGCCTAGGCAAAAAGGGATGGGAATTAAACAGGGCCTGGGAGGGCATAGATGAGGATAGATGGTTAATGAAGGCGTATGACCTTGGTGGGGCAAGTATGGGGGTTTATATAGCAACACTAAGTATGCAACTACACACTCATTCTGGTCATTAATCTCCCATTAAATTCAGATAAGATAGACATACCCATTGTGACTATGATGACCACCTTTAGGGTCAAGGCGAAGTACTCCACATGGCAAATTCATGTCATCGTGAAACTGCATAAAAAAAAGCTTCAACTGTCTAAGGGTGCCACACAGATTGAAGTCCTTTACAAATAGGAACTACATGATTGGAATTTGGAATAGTCGAAAAGATTATACCACAATCACGCGGTTGAGCGGGAGCTTATAATATGCACCAAGTGGTCCACTCTAGGAGAAACAAATGAAACTCATTTCTCATTACCATCATTAACTCATTTCTCATTACCATCATTAAGCTATGTATTTTCAATAAAACGACCAACAACAACAACATTGCCCCAGTGCCTTAAAGGCTCCTGCCCATTGTGGGGTAAGGAGGGGTCGGATGTTGCAGCCTGACTTCTCTATTTAAAACATAAAGCGACTGTTTCTGGATGACCCATGATGAGCGTCGAGACTTGGATTGACTGACTACGAGTTCACTATAAAAGAAGGAAGCGCAGACTGTTTGAAGAGCCATTTTGCTTTATTCCAACATACCCCAAAGCCAAAAAATAGTGAATCTTTGGCTCCATGGGAGATGATGGAAAGATTTTCGATAAAACTACCAAAATGATAAATTAGTGCAAGTTTAGAACTTTAAGCCTATAAACTGAATTTCAATTGCTTACAGATTCACCACTCAAATTCATGAATGTTTGAGGCTTGGCTAGGAAAACTGGAACTCCTTTGACTAAACCTGAAAATAGTAATTTCCTGAAATCAATCCCCGCAAGGGCACACACATAAACAAGTATTGACCTTTTTTTTTGCATGGAGAAAGTGGAAACAAAGTGGCTAAACCAAAACTTGGAAGAAAGAAACCTTTCCCAAATATAGCTTTACAATGTAAATCACCCATTGAGATGCCAAGAGACTCTGCAAATGCATCTACCATTTCAAACCCAACCTGCAGGGAAATAAAGTTGAGTTTATATATAGCCCAAAAGACATAAACAGTCAATTTGGACAAAATGATAATACTTTTGCAACATACATTGTGTCTTGTCCCCTTGTATTTATCACCTGGATTGCCCAGCCCAACAAAGAGCCATGGCTCTGGAGAAGCTGGGCTGAAGCGACTTCTACTGCATATGCGACTGAGCATCTTTACAATTCTTTAGCACAACCCCAAATGAACAATACTCAAAATCACCTCAGGAGAATGTTTTTACAAAAATAATAATTTTATAAAGGCACACATGCCCAATGAGGATAAATGATGACATTAAATGAGAATCAACATGAGCTCTACAGAAATACAGAAAAAATTACCTATAGGGATGAGGGATGACCTAACCCCATGCAAGCACAATACCACTCAAGTACCTAAGGATGTTGAGGAAAATAATAGTTACGATGTACTCGTGAGGGGAAAACAAACATAAGCTTACCAACCACCAATGCTGCAAGTTACTGAACAGAACTAACAACACAAGTAACCTTTCACAATCAAGATCGAGCAGACTATCAATCCAACACAAAGTTGTTTTTAACCACAATTGAAACCCAAGCACTACTCCTCGTCTAATTTAGAATCATAGTTCAGTTGTTCAAAGAATAACGGTATAAACAGGCCATAGGCCCCAGCAAATATAATCTGAAACAGGTTCTCAGCTTCAATTAAATGTAATGTAAAACAGGCTATCGGCTCATTGATGAAATGGTTTAAAACAGGCTATCGGCCTTACAAAAAGATTAGTTTAAAATAGGCTCTTGACATAACAAAAAATTGCTTTAATAAAACTCTAAGCCTCACTAGAAAAACGTTTTAAACAGGGTCTCAGCCTCACTAGAACTCCATGATGGAACAGGGTTCTAGTACTCAGGAGATTCATATAACATCTTCTCTTCCTAAGCAACTAGGGACAAAACCCACAGTTGTCCATTGATGTAACTCGGGTTGCCCCGTCTCTGTTCACCAATCATGCATGTTTGGCGAGCACACATCCTAAAGAAGTAAAAACATCAACGCCGTACTAAAGTCTACCCATGACCCATTGGTGATAATAGATCATCTTCCCAAAGGGGAAAGCTTTCCAGTCCCAAATGATTCATTGTTCTCAACGTTGAAACATTTGGTGTCCATAACATTTTAAAAATATGATTGAACCGTTGGAGACATGTCCACAGCGAAATCGCAAAAAATGCAATTTGAAAACATTTGGTATACCGACCAAAATTTGATTAATTTAACATGAGAACTTTAAGACCCACCACTTCGAGAAATTGTCAAGAAAATAAATATGGGTATTAAGCCAAAGAAATCAATTCCTCAAGAATCATCAAAGACGTCAAGTTTTCACAAACCAGCCTAGATTATACATTCCTTAGAAAGTCATCAAGCAATTCGAATTGCAGGTTTCAAGTCAATAATAAGGAGTAACACATAACTCTACTAATAACCAAAATAAGTAATTAAGATTTCTTCTTATTATAGTCATTATATGCACCAAGACCCACGCTAGATAGCCCCAACGCAGTACTCAGACCCAGACCCCACGCTGCCCAGGCCCAACCCCAGACCCCGTTGCCGAGTCCCGGCGGAAACCCTGTGCATCTCGCCACTGCCGTCCGCCTCCCCAGCGAAGATAACTCCTAGCTCGCTCACGACCACGACCACCCTACATCGCCTACCAATTTTCCAACACTCACAGCAATAAGCACAAAATTTCGAAGGATTTCATAGGGGAATCCCACTCACCTCTAGGTCGCGAACTCGTCGGAAAGGGGAGACCAGCTTCTGCCCGCCGTCGTTACCGGAAACAGAGGACAAGGGAGATAGAGTCGCCGCAGTTCATCGCAGGTGCAAGGTAGTCATTTTACTGTATGTTGATGTACTCCTACTGCTTGGTTAGCAACTCCAATGGAGCCTCTATATTTTGTTGAAGTCTAAAAATTAAAGTTTTAACACTACACTCTAGACAAAATTGAGCTCCAACCAATAAGGAAAAATATACATGGTGAGCTAATTTAAACTTTAGGTCATGTATATATAGAAGATTAAGTTCATAAGCTATAATAAAAAAGTACTCCATAATAAACAAATGTGAAAAGTACTCCGTAGGAGAGATGAGTGTTAACCTGACATGCCTAGTTTGTAGCTAGGGGTGTGCATTAACAGGTCCAGACCGGAATTTAGACTTGAATCGGACCAGTCCAAAATTTTCCGGTCCGGTCTTCGATCCTCCAAAATTTAGGATTCCGGGTTTCCGGTCCGGTCCAGTCTAAACCTGGAATTATCCGATCCGGACCGGTAAATAATAAAATATTAATTTTTTTAAATAAATAGTTAATTCATTAGACCATTATCCTTTCAAATTTCTTCTTTTTTCAATTTTATTAGACTCCTAGCATGATATGTTACTTAATTTCAATTTTTACTTTAAGTATTTTTTATTTAATTTTTTTCTTTGAAGTTTGAACTTTGGTTTGAGATTTTTTTCATAGATTTTGTAGTGTTATGAACTTATGAATTTAACAATTGCCCTCCCAAGTGAATTGTTATTGTTATAAATTTGGAGATTGATGGTATTACATATATATTTACATATACAATTTAGATATGATTTTTTTATAATGAAAAATAGGTCATTTATGTTTAAATTCCGGTCCATAATAAGGTAAACCCGGACCGGACCGAAAAATTCAGGTCCGGACCGGTATCTAACAGGTCCGGTCTTCGGTCCTTGCAAATAGAAGATTCCGGTTCCAGTCCATTCCGGTCCGGTTTTGGACCGGTGCACGCCCCTATTTGTAGCTATCTCACAAAAAAAAGTAAAAAAGCAATAAAATATATTAAATTTATGAATAATAACTGATATGTTTGGAGGGCATACAGAAATGTGAGCATTCAAATTACTGTACACACTCTAAAAGGGAGTTTTAGCTCTTAATTTTTTGCAGCTCCGTTGGAGTTGCTCGGCCGGTGAGCATGTACCAAACTCATCTCGATATTTCATCAAAAGGGATTATCTAATAGAAAAAATTCGAAAAATGCTAGAGAGAGTTGGTGTATGGAAAGGTACCCCAAACATGTCCACCCCCTCCATCACCATACAAAAAACGCAAGAAAAATTCAAAAAAAAGTAAAAAATAAAAACAAAATAAAATAAATGGTAAAGAGAGAGTTGGTGTATAGAAAGCGAACTCTACCGTATCAATCTAAATAATCGGTCCGATATTTAGAATTAATACGGAGTAACTTTTCATACCAAAAAAAATCTTGATTCCAACATATATCTACAAATATGTTATAATGAATTGATTTTGAAAAATTGGTTTAAGCGTAGATAAATTACAAATAATCACTAATTTGAATTTTAATTTTTTATAGATAAATATTAACATTTGCAATACTATTTTGTTATCATTCACTCTCTTTTGTTTGTGAAATAAATTAAACAAAGTTTTATAAGCATGTTTTGCATTTACTTATTCATTTTTTAATCTTATACTCCGTAATTTTCTTTATTTGAATGTACTTTCCATTTTTTAAATAAAAAGTTTTATACATTTCAAAGTGTAAACAAGGTGCGTAAATATATTCATCCCAATATTTACTGAAGTTGAACCATCACGAACCATACCAAACCGATATTTCAAAATCAAATTTGGTACAATGTAAAATCTTATAACGAACCAAAATATTTAGTTCGGTTACAGTACGAACCAAATACCATACCACGCTCACTCCTAGTCATTGGTTGGTCAGCATCTTATAACTTCTGTTTCATTTATATTTTCAATTATGTAAGAGTTTTAATGTAGTTTTTTAACATGTAAATTATATTTTAAATTTTTATATCAATTTATAAATAAAATGCTTAAAAATTTATGAAATTTTGTACGTTGTTTGAATGATGTAATTCTTTTCTTTGCAAAAAATTAAAAAGACTAGTAAATAACACGAAATTCACCCATAAATTGAATAAAAACAATATTAAATGTTACTCCCTAGTCTCATATATTGAAAGGAGGTCTAAAATTAAAATCAACCTAATATATGGACATGTTTAAAAGAAATTGATAGTTCTTTTGCATCGGTTTAATAACCGATGCAAAAAGTATTTGTGCCAAATGTATCACTACCTTTTGCATCGATAAGGAACCGATTCAAAAAGTAAAAAATAACCAATTTAAAAAGTTTAGTAGTGATTGACTGTTTGTGTCAACTGTTTTATTGTTCATGTCATTTGTTTTAACCGGTGAGATACATTTGCTGATTGTTAAAAATGCTTGGTACATTTACTTGTTTGTACATAGATGGTTCAAGATAAAATTACATGTAAAGATATTTTAAATACTCTCTTCGTCCTAAATGAATGCTTTAGTTCGCTTTTTCATGTTGTTTGAAAAAATTAAATGTTTTGGGTTGAGTTGCTAGAGATGAGAGAAAATCAATATGTGCCACTTATTTCATTGCTTTTATGGAATGAGAAGTTTATTTTAAAACAATCTAAATATGAAAGTGAAAAAAATACTTTAGGATGGAGGGAGTAAAAATTTTGTTTGTAAAAAAAGTAATTTTTACTTTTCACTTTTGTCAATTTATAACTACCCTTTAAACCAAACGGTATAGGCACCGTGGTGGTGCTGTGATGGCCAGGTTGCACCACATCACCTACCATCACGGTGTGGAACACCCCCCTACAGGGTGATCGTGATGGAGTGATGGACATCACGGTCACCATGGCTCTCCCTCTTCCCATTTCTAGCCGCTCAACAGTTAGTTTAATTTTTTTTGGTTTCTTCCATCCTTTCCTTTACTTAAATCATCATCTTCATTTCAAATTTTCACACTGTGGACGTCCTCCGATTCTGATGAAGCGGAAACTCTTATCATGAATACCATGGCGTGGGCAATCCAGATTCTTACGCAACAAGAAAACGACAAATTATGTAAAAGAAGACGAGCTCTAAATAGAGATAGAATCGATATTCTTCTAACTTCTTCATATTTAATTAACATATTACTTTACACATTTATATTAAATATTACTCCCTCCGTCCCCCTAATATGTTCTCATTTTGACTTTTGGTGGTTTTTAAAGAGAGTTGAAAAAAGGTAGAAGTTTACCATAATACCCTTAATGAAAATGGGTGGAGTGTATTAAATGAGGTGGGTGAGGTGTAATAAATAAAGTAACTGGAGTAGTTGTGGTATTTTATTTGTTAAAAAATGAAATGAGAAGATCTATTGTGGACAAAGAAAAAGAATTATTGAGAAGATCTATGAGGGACGGAGGGAGTATGAAACTAATAAGTAAGTGGGCACGAAACGATCGAATAGTTGAGGATTATTTTTCCGAATATGTGACCTACACCGACAAACTATTCCGGCGTAGATTTTGCATAAGTCATCATCTTTTCTTCCGCATTGCGAGTGATTTGGCAGGTGCAAATCCGACATGATGCCCGACAAAATGTTAGTTTCTCAACGTTGCAAAAGTGCACCACCATGCTTCGACAATTGGCATACGACAACACTGCAGATTCACTCAATGAGAATCTGTGCATGTCTGCTCGAACGGTGCGGGAATGCATGTACAAGTATTGCAAATGTGTTATCAGATTTGGTAGCATTCATTGTATGCACTAGGCATGAGGCAATTGTCCTAACACATGGCGTGGTCAATATACGCGCGGTGATCAAAAGCACCCCACACTAATGATACAGGGTATCGGGCCGGACACTTCTTTTTCTATTTCACGAGTGGAGTACAAGCATGAGTTTTATCTTGGCGACGGTATCTATCAAGATTGTGCGACTTTAGTCAAAAGTATACAATACTTTGAGGATCCAAAGAGAAAGAAATTCACCAATTACCAAGAATTAGCAAGAAAAGACGTGGAACATTTATTTGGTGTGCTCAAGCAGATATGACACATTATGCAAAAACCCAACACGACCTTTCACACCAAAAAAGTTATGTTACATTATGTACGCTTGCTGCATCCTACATAACATGATTATCGAAGACGAAGGACGTGCGATATGCGAATAAAATCCAAACGATCACAATGGTAATGTTGAATCGGTTGATGAAGAACAACAAAATCTCAATAGGTTCGACTTACATAACACACATACGCACCACAATCTTCGTGCGAATTTAGTTGAGCATTTATGGAACTACGCTCCTCCACTTCCAAATGATGAGAAATTGTACTCCCTCCGTCCCAAATTATAAAGTCTGTTTACTATTCACAGGGTCAAACTTCATTTACTTTTTTTTCTCTATTTTCGTTAACAATTTGATAAAATAAAATATTATTATCACTACTAGTTTTGTAGATCTTTTGTTGTAGTTTTTTAATATGTAATTTTTATTTTTTTAATTCTATACCATTTGTCATATAAAATGGTTTGAAAATAATTTCAGTCAAACATCGTAAACCGAAACAGGCGTTATAAAATGGGACGGAGGTAGTATTTTTTTAAATATTAAATGTTTATTTCCTCATTTTTAATCGCATCAATACTCCATATAATTTTAATCTTAATATTTTTTGAATTATTTATTTACCATTTTTATTTTAAGTTAATTGTTTAAAAAAATTGGACGTGATAGGCGTCATCCACACCCCTGCAGTGGGATGGTGGTGTGATAGGCTATGATGGAAAAGAAAAAAGCTGAGGTGGCGCTGAGTAGGATGGTGTGAGGGTGTGGTCAAAAGCCGAGGCCACCGAATGGAGCATAAACTATTAGATGGTTTTTTTTACTCTTAAAATCATAACTTGATTTTCACTTTTCAGAATCATATAATTTAAAAAGCAGCAGAATCACCATATTTTGAAAGTGCAAACTAAAACCTCTCTTAGTGTAAATATGTCTTTAAGGCAAATTGAACAATGCTTCACAAATGAGAACAGATTACAGTGGAGAACAACTTACTTAGCAGATGGAAAAAAATTGCAGATGATTGACAGTGAACAGGCTGATCAATTGAAACAAGAATTAACTTTTCAACTGGAAAAATAAATGACAAGATTGTTTAAAACAAAATGAATTTAAAAGCAGATAGATGAAAAGTGATAGAAAATACAAGATTGGAAAATGAAAGAATCTTGTTAGATTTGAAGTGGAAACTGGAAAATGGAAAAATTTTCCATTTTGTTTAAATGAATCAGCAGATTAAATAATCTTGTCATTAAATAATTCAGCAGATTCAGCCAACTCAACCATTTTAAGTTTGTGCAAACATACCTGGCATAAGCTTAATGACATCATTTTGCATTCTCTTCCATTCCACCAACCAATGAATCGATATGTTCTAGCAGTGGTAAGACTTACACTATGAGAAGAATTACAGTGAAAGCTGTTAATGACACGTATACCCTTATTGCAAATACCTCAGGATGAGAATTTAGAATAAAGGTATCTGGATAAGAAATCTACAATGAAATGTCAGTTGAAGTCTGAGCTCGAAAATAGTGCTCCAGGATGTAATGATGATGTACTCCCTCCGTCCCACAATGGATGCCCCTGTCCACTATTCAAAACATACGATAACTTTTGTTTATGTGTTGTTTCATTGCTTATTTGATATAAAAAAATGATGCCACCTGTTCTTTTGTAGAACTTTTGACATACTTTTTAAAAATGTATGTAATACTTTTTTATTTTTATACCAATTTTTAAATAAAATGAATTGAAAAAACGTGGGGGTTTTCTTCATTTTGCAGAAAGGGGCATCCATTGTGGTACGGAGAAAGTAAAATTAGAAGCACAAGAATTCTCTCTATAAGTGAACTGTTTTCTCATTTCTTCTTCTTCTTCACTTTTTTCAGTGAAGAAGAATTCCTTTGGCCAGCTTATGGACTGGAATCTAATAGTATATCGGAACTTCTTTATTTGTGAGAAAGTAAAGTACCTGATTAAGAAATTGCTTAGGGTGTCTAAAATCAAATAGTCTATTATCTGTTTAAACCCTTTAAGTAATACAGAGTACATATTACTTAGGACAATTTTATAGAGTGCCACATAAGCAATTATTTTTATGCTATTAATATTAAAAATAGAGTTAGTTAGGGTCAGTTGTTTAACGGGTCAAATATATTACTGTATATATGTTAGTTACTAAGTAGTTAATAATGTGTAAGTGGACCTAAACTCTAGAAGTAGTTGCTAAGTAATGTGGTAGTGAGCCTTAAGTCTAGGAATAGTTACTAGCTAATGTGGTAGTGGGCCTAAATTCTAGGGATTGGTAGTTATTTGGCTTCTATAAATATTGAGGCTCATTATTCGTAAAGTTATCCAGAAAGTAATTCAATATTTATTATTGGAGATTCTCCTTGGCTTTATCATTTAAATGAGTTTAAGATTCTTGCTCATATTCTGATAAAGATTTCCCTTCATCTTTATTATTTTATGAATTTAGATTCTGATTTCATAATTTCATAAAGACTACCCTTCAATTGTTTTCACAGTCACTCTTGGGTTCTATCACATTTCCTTTAGTATGACATCTTATAGCTTGTAGTTTGAAGTTGGGCTTTAAGAGAAACTCAAAGACAACAACTTTATAAACACCTCTGCATTTTTCTTTGGGTTTTATCTACGGCTTGAGTATAAACTATATAGAAAAAACAGCAGTCTTGAAAGGAGCAGAATAGCAGAGGCTAGAGTTCCAAGTTCATTAAGCTGTGCACAGTTAATATTAACCAAATTTTGAGCACTGTGAACATTGTGAAATACTGTGACCTTTTGTTATAAATCAGATTCATAATTATGTAAAATATATTACTCCCCCTATCCTAAACTTCAGAGATAGTCACAAAATAGTTTACGAGTGCCAATCACGATTCACACTGGACACAAGACTGAAATTTTGAAATACTCGGGTGTATATAGTTTCATAAGCCTGTACAAGAACATTAATTTATGATACAATTCAGTTACAAAGAGCCAAATACTATATCTACAATCTTGGGGCTGAAACAAGGAAATGAAAATTTAAAAGAAACAGTGCAATGATCTATTTAGTAAAAGACAAAATCAAAGGCCTAAAACAAATAATAATTTGAAGATATTAAAAGAATTGGGAAATAAAACATACCTCCAGGGAGTAGCCTGCGCTTGCTTCCAATCTGTGTCTGCCCTAACACCAGAGCCTGCCCAGCAGTGGGATTCATGCAGAACAAGAGAGAGTTGAAGATCGAGAGCTGAAGCAGAGATTAACCGCTGGGTTTAGACTTTAGAAAGCGCATATGGTTGAACAGACATCATTAGATTAAAAATAATAAATGGAGTGTGCCTCTTAAGTACACTGTTAAATGTCAATCATGTAGTAGTGAATAAGGGTTAATAAAGAAAGCAAAATATGTTACAATCAATATGAATGATGTAAAAGCCATGTCACAACATCTTTTATCAAATTTATGTTTCAAAACATTTCACTCTTGAGATAGGGAAAAAAATTGTAAAATGGTACATGAATGAATTGACATAAGATCTGCAGCCAGCCTAGCATGTGTTGATCCCATCCTTGCAATCTTTGGTGAGATTGTAGAATGTCTCCACCTTTGTCTTGGCTCTATAAAGAACCTCGGTGTCTACTTCGACCCTCATGTACCCATCGAATTCAACAGGGCGGCCACCATTCAGAAGTGTTGTCTCATTGTACCATTCACTTGTGTTACTCCACAAATACTGGTAATCATCAAGCAAGTGAAGCTTGTAGTGAGGTCTCAACTTATCAAAGTAATTGTAGAATGGCTCGTTCGTGGCAATATATAGATTCCTTCCGGGCACAACCATTTTTTGAATCTTCTCAACCAGGGTATCAGGAGATGTATCGGCGTCCAAATGGGGCCATAACTCCTTATTCTCTGCTTTGTAACCCCTGACCACATGTGCAGCGTCAAAGTCCCAATCCATACTCGCACTGATTGCAGTGACTATGTTCATCAATCTCTTTGATTTCCACAGAGCATGCCAGGGCCTCTGAATGTGCTTTGCAGATGGACCTTCACAGACACGATACCAATAGTTTTCAGGCTCCGGGCCATCAAATTTTCTCCATATTATTGTGGATTTATTATCCCTTCTAAGCTGCATCGGCGTGACACTATAGCCAGCAACCTTTCTCACAGGGATCTTCTTCTTGTGCATCTTGTCCCATCTCTTCCAATCTTTGAGGAAATCTACTTCATCCACAATCCTGGCCTCCTCTTTTAAGTGCTCAAAATCAAAGTAGAACCTAAAGTCTTTCCCTTCCTCATCCTTGTTGCTCTGAGTGTAAGTGGACGCCAGACAGATCCTCAGATCCATCACGAATGTTCGATTCAAGTACTGGGCCTCACCTAGAGCACACAGAAAGCTCCATAGAAACTGATTCATCCCTTTACAATAGTCACCGCCACGAGAATAGTACAAATATTTCCCGTTCCTGAAAGCCAGATCTGACCCCATGATTGGGATTGTATCATTGATCTCATCATCCTGGATAGGGGGAGAGATTTTTGGTTTTGAGCCATGTCTAGTGGCATTCCCGTTATTACCTTGAATCCTCGGAGGACGAGCCTTTACCCCTGAATGCCATTTCCCTGCTCGAACAACTCTGTGACTACAGTCGCTAGTAAATCCAATTTTAAACCTCCGAAAATCCCTATACTTCCTCCATGACTTCTCTCTCTTGTTCCTAAACCTCCAGGCCACATCACATTCGTCTGGCTGAGACCCATTAACAGGAGTTTGGTAATCGAAAAACGCAAGCGACTTGAATCTCCTCACGTTGAACCTCTGAATGGCGAACAAAACCCTAGGATCTGAGCAATTGATTGAATCTCCATCTGCACAGTTCTCCTTCAAAGTAGCNAACTCTGTGACTACAGTCGCTAGTAAATCCGATTTTAAACCTCCGAAAATCCCTATACTTCCTCCATGACTTCTCTCTCTTGTTCCTAAACCTCCAGGCCACATCACATTCGTCTGGCTGAGACCCATTAACAGGAGTTTGGTAATCGAAAAACGCAAGCGACTTGAATCTCCTCACGTTGAACCTCTGAATGGCGAACAAAACCCTAGGATCTGAGCAATTGATTGAATCTCCATCTGCACAGTTCGCCTTCAAAGTAGCATTCGGGAGCTTCTCTTCCGATTTCTCAATTACTTCCTCTGTGACTGGCACACTGGCAAAGGCCGGCGTGGTTGCAGGGGAGGCGGCAACCATATCCTCCCCAGTCTTAAGGACAGAAGTGTCTGTCTTAAATGTGGCATTTTGGACGGAAGTGAAAACCCTAGTCAGGGCCCTAGCAGATTCCCATGGATCGGGGGGTTGGTATGTTACGGCAATCACGGTTAATATGAGCGCAGAAAACACAAACACAGAGAAACAGACATTGCTAATCAGCTTTATGATGTTCTGCCCAATCGGATCTGCTGCCGAATTGGGTTCCCTCATTGCAACAATAAACCCTAATAGCTAACCACAAATCAGATCAGATCAAATCCGAACCATTCGCCGTGCCATTATATAAAATCTTTCCCAATTGAATCGAAAAATTTGAGATTCGCAAGCTCAAGGGTTTACTCACCTCTGATCTTGAAGGTTGAAGTTGACTTCAATACTCTTCCAGCTCTTCCGCTGCTGGATTATTAAATTCAAGATTCAGTTTTGCAGAGTTCCATAGCAGTGATTAGTGAAGAGAAACAATATCAAGAAGAAGAAGAAGAAGAAGAAGAAGACGGTGGGAAATAAAGAATTCTACTGCGCGAGGGGGGAGTCATCATAGTGGTGAGTTGGAGAGCATCCTTCAATCAACATCACACTGAAACGAATGGGACCCACATTGTTAAACCAGTAGAAAAACATTAATTTTGGTACCTAAGCTTTACGAGTTTTTCGTTACAAATATGGTATTTTCGGTTTCAAAACTCCATCTTTGGATTTAATTATAAATTAAGGGGTGTATTCAATATAGAGTTTGTAGGATTTTTTTGTATTCTAAAAGTTTATGGGTATTCAATTATGATTTTAAAAAATCTTTTAAAATTCTGGTATATTCAATTAAGATTTTAAAAAATCTTTCAAAACCTTGGTGTATTCAATTAAAATTTTAAAATATCTTTCTAAATCTAATGGTATTGAAAATTTAATGGATTTTCTAAGATTTTTATAAATGATGGATTGTGAAGGATTTTAGGGCATGTAGTATAAATAAAAATCCTTCATACTAATCTCTCTACGAACCTACGGATTTTGAGAAATCTGAGCCATGAAGAATAGAAAAACCTGCTTCGGCATAAGGAGCTTGACTCCAGGAGATGAACTGGTACATCTCTCACTTGTTTCAAAATTCAAATCCCTAATCCCCTTTATGCGATTCTTTGATCTAGTTTTTCACACACATGCAGAGGCCTATTTATGAATTCTTTTCCTGTTTAATGAGTTTTATTCTAATTGAACTATTTTTCTCTAAATGATTTGCAGTAAGGCGATGTCATCATATCTAAAATGAAGAGATGGATATTGGGAAAAGTTGCTTCAGAAAAGCAA